GCCAGCGAGTAGACGGCAGAGCCAGCATCCTAATCCCAGTCTTTGATTCCTAGTTCAGTGTCGCTGCCATGCATTCACAGCCCCAGACGTTTTTTTCTTTTCAAACTTTTATCTCCCATGTTTTGTGAGGTCATCTGTCTCAAGGTTAACGTCCAGAGTTAATTTCATCCTTTTCAAAGCTTCGTGATGATAACCTGATCTTGCTTCTCACGCTGTGTGGCAGCTGGGGAAGAAAAGAGTTCAAAAGCATTCTAGAAAGGGCTTGCGGTGTGGTTGTATCCGAGTGATTTTGCCTGCTAGGAAACCAATCATGCCTGGAAACACTGCTTAGAGCAGTTCAATGAATAGGTTTTCCACAGGGGTTTGCAATTAGAGGGTTTCCTGTGGGGCAGAACCTGAGTCTCAGGTCCACAGACTTGGGGACAGGCTGATGCTTTCTGTTCCTGACAAAAATAAAAGACTGTGGAGCCAGCAAGCCATGGTCTTTCTGTGGCAACAAAAATATATTTAATTTTAGGGAAATACCTATCATATGCCAGATACTCAGCCAGGTGCTTTGCAAATATCACCTCCAATCCTAACAGCAAAGGTACTGTACACCCATTTTATAGGTTAGAAAACTAAGGCTCTACAAGGTTAAACAGCTAGGGCTCTGCGGCCCCTGACTGAACACCAGGGCTGAGTGTGTGTGCTGTGTGGGCGCTTACCACTACACCACACCACCTCTGCAATTGAAAGTGACGTCAAAAGGCAGGCAGACCTAACGCTGCTCTAATTCAGGCACCTGCTAAATGAAAGTTAGCAGCCTTGTCCTCAGCCTCCTGGAAGGATCCAGAGTAAACTGAGAAAGACCCTCTAGCGGGCGAGGCTGCTATAATTTGAAGCTATGGAGGTGGGTGCTGCACTGATAATTTTGGCTGTTTGAAAGCATCGTTAACTGTGTTCACTGATTCACACAAAGTAGCTGGATGTTTGGGAGGCACTGGCGTGGGGAAAACTTGGCTGAGGAATCAAAAAGGGCTGGGTTTGAATTGTGACTTGACTGGGAAAAAGTCACTTAATCTTTCTGAGACACACTTTCTTCATTAGTAAAACAGATAAGGAAATATGTCCCGGTGGGTTCCATCAGGGGTAAATGAGAAGTGGGTAAAGCTCTTGAAAGTGACCATTCCAACTGTCTGGTTGGCCCCTTTTTACACCTGTCCCTAAGTCCTTTCTCTCAAGAGTGGTAGCAAGCTATCCATCTTTCCTCTCCCTCTTCCTCATCTTCCTTGCACTCCTCTCCGAAACAGCACCACAGAGCTTTGATACGTCACTACCTGGTGCAAATGGAAGGAATGGAGCACCCTAAAATGGCACGTTTTGCCATGTAACTGATCTCACGAGTCAGAAATTTCCCACTTAGAAAGTTTTTGTTTTTT